GGAGAATACATTCGATGATTTTCCCCTCTTAAAAAAAATACCCTACATATACAAATACATCTCTTACTCACTTGTATATGGAATACATAACATAACTAGAATAACAGCTGTACCTGTAGGTGTATAGGTAGATATTACTGTGTACTGTCTTAAATGTATGTATAGCAGCTGCTATACATACATTTAAGCTAGCTAGCTTTTTCATGAAAATCATAGGTAATAGATAATGCAATGAAACAAGAGCAATATATTTTTCAAATTTTTATTTACTTGACATACAATAGTGTTTGCATGTTAGGTTAATATTAATCCAATATGAATTGTTACCTACAGCTGTAACTGCGAAAACAACTATTTAGTTACGCCACGGCTAAACACTCTTTGCAACGTCTTAAATAACACTAATAGCAAAATCTGCATAAATATATATAAAATTAAACATAACCTCTTCTAGTAATGTACTAAATTCTAAAATCATACAACAAATTACAATCTCAATAATAATAATTAAATAAACATTTCAAATAAATACTTTACTTAAGTAAATTCTAGTTTGTGCATAAAAAGCTAATTTTACTTAAAAAATAATTAACGTAAATAATCTACGATACAAGTAAGCAAGTAATGATAATATAATAAGAAACAATTGACGCATTAATTTGCTAAGAGAATACTAATTTCATCTAATATAACCCTGATAAATATAATTATAATTTGACTAAAACAAAACAAAATTATTTACTACTACAATAACAAATAAAGACCTACATATACAATAAAAAAATAATTGGAATACAATTTTGCTAATAAATTATTAGGGCTTTATATATTTAAAACATGTTTAATTATTTCAGGAGTAGGTTCTACTTTAAGAAATAGGTACAGGACGTAACTAAATATGACAATGAGTTTCTGACAAAATCACTAACCAAAAGTTTCGAGTTCATACGATCTACGAAAAACTGATTTACGAGCTACTTAAGTACCAAAATGGGCCAATTTGTCAGAAGAAATCTAGCAGTGAAACAAATCTAGACTACATGTAATAAATTGTTACTAATCATAGCAGACTCCGGACTTTGCTCGAAATGAAACTCCCTAAGTAGAACGCTCTCATCCTAAATAGAAAAATGACAAAACCATTATTGTTATAGTATTCTGTTCTTATAAAACTCGTACGTATATTAACCGACGACGACAAACTGGGAGGTTACTTCATTGATATGTTGGTAAATTGTACGGAATATAGTCAAAGTTTCATATGTCAAAAATTGCTTCTGTTACAATATATAGGAATCTTGTGTTGATCGAAATATATTTCACCTGCTAATTGTATTATGGACATTCTTTTTGTTACGTATTTTCATCATATATCAAGATGTTATTATACTTATTATGTCTCATAGTAAAATTAGCAGTGTCCACTAAAAAAGCTTACTAAACTTCTAAAAATCACCTAACATTGCTTAAAACATCAAACCTCTATTTTTACATAAATGTACAGTATAATTTATACATTTACAAATTCTAGTAAACGGCTATACTACAAGCGTTATACTATATACTACATTATTAAACCATTTTAATGAAATAACTATTACAATTTGTCATAACATCAAACAGGTTAAGATTACGAGAAGAATTATTTAGTTATATGAATTAATAATTTAATGTCTAAATCAGGTCTCACATTATTATAATTACACATAATAATTAGATATTATATTAAACACTATTATCTAACACCAAACACGGCAACTGAACAACAGCGATATTATACAGAAACGCTTCTAATATACAAACATAATAAACAATAATTTAATCACAATAATATAATATTTATTGTTCTAATTCAATTTATTTACATAGAATTACGTTTTACCAATTATTTTGTATATAAATATAGTATAATTATATAATTATGTATAATATAATTATAGATCAATCGTTATTATAAAATAACATTCGTAGTAGACATTTATTAGTATAAAACTATTTATAGTAGTTTTACGAGTACGTGGTATATATTATATTATTGGAATAATTACGTTTATAGGTATAACACGCGAATTTATCTGAGGCTTAGTAAAAAATCGCGAATCACAATGTTTCTGTGCAAACAAGGTAAAGCTAAGTGTAAGCTGGAGATATTGACTTGTCTACAGCCGATTTAAAGCAATTACATTAATATTTGTGCTATGTTATTGTTCAATACATAATCCTTAAACTTTCCACACACTCTGGTTTAAATATCATGAATTATATATCATTAGTATTTGATTTCTACGTGTTTATTAAGCCTCAGTTAAAGAAATCACAATGATAGTAAATATTTATTTAATATCGTTATTAAATGTGTGAAAATGTTACTATTATAATATTAGGTATATAATGATAACAATCTCTATACAAATGTTACTGTGTGATATATAAATAGTTGCAAGCCCACATTACAAACTTAAAATGACAAATGAAATTAAGTTACATCAAAATTGTTGTTTTGCTGTGGGCCACTTTGAGTAAAAATCTGCCTGTATGTCATCTTAAACTACTGGACCGATTTGTATGACAATTTTTATACAAATAGCTACCAGCCTCGGAGTCGACTGCCCGCAGCCGCACTCCTCGCGTGACTGTAACATTTATCGTTTCACCATTCTCAAGTACTTACTCAAGATGACATGCTCAGCATGTTTCTACCCTCACTATATATTGCCTTAAATTCCGTTTTATTCGATTTCATATTTATTAGTATTGCACACAAAATAATCTTCAAAAGATCTCAAGACGACACAAACAAATGGTTATAACAACAATTTAGATACACAATAGAAAGCTTTAAAAGTATAGAAAATTAAAACAAACAGATCAATAAGCTAGGGTTAAGCTTAAATTACAAAAATAGTCGAATTCAAAATCCATTTTTCTATCACACGAATTGTCCTTTTGAAGGAGTTACCAGCAATCAGTCTTGCAAGCTTCGACTTTGTCATTGATATCCTACACGAACAAAATAAATGCCTACAAATACACTGCAGTGCAGGGAAAATAACATAAAACACGAAAAAGGTGAAGTAAGAGGAAACTGCACAAGAAATATCCTTAATAACTATTTGTGACCACTTTCTGTCAAAGGTTTTCATTATTTAGTAGAAAAATATTTTTGTTACATTTTTTTCGTTTTGTTATAAATAAAACATTACTTCTAAATATCGTCTATGAAAGTGCTGTTATTGAAAACATCTAGGAGGTAAAACAATATTATATTAGGATATAATGTCTTGCAATTATTATATACGACTGTTACACTGTAATTATAACGACGAATCTTTGTGAGAAATAAAAATACAAATAACAAGGAAATACTAAAAATAAACAATAAAACATGACTTAATGTCATGAATTACCATTTAATTTAAACTAATAATTCCTACAAAATAAACAGGGTATTCGACTATCGAATAATAAACTCAGGAATGACTTTCCTAATTTGAAAGAATTTTTTGTAGATAAAAACATGCAAATGTTCACGTTTATTTCAATATCTACAGTATAACTAATCTAATAATATCGAAAATATTTTTATTTCCCACTTCGTAATAATAGGTAGGTATATTATTTTAAAAATATACAATAGTTATATCGTTATTACATTATATTATCGTTATCGTTATTAATATATCGTTAATATCTTTTTGTGCATTATAAGCGGCTAATAGCCTGTGCTTAGCGCAGACTCTTTATATACGAAGGGTATAATTATATTTGAGACCTAGGTCTCCTTACTATAAAGACTTACTTACGAAGCTCGTCGACGTTCGTTTTGACATGGACATGCTAGCATCTGATAAACTGACATTTTGAATATCAAAATTGTCAGCTAAATACAAAAAGAAAAAGTTTAATATTATCAACCAATTATTTTACCATGTAAATGATCGGAATATAAGGAAAACGTTGGAAATAATTTATGAATATTTCACATTATTTTATGAGAAAACATGTCCATATCAAATATCCAAAACTTTATCAACAACTTTAAATATTTCTCCAAGAAACTAGTCACACTTTTAACGAGCATTTAACAAACTTATTGCCACCGCAATAACTACTTTAAATCTATTTATATATATGCGCATTTTCTAAATTCTCTAGTAATCATTTTGTCAAATAAAATCTATCTAACATAAGTATTTCTTTGGTTTCCTGACTGACTGACTAGTGTGTAAACTTCATGCATAATTAACCAGTAAATAAAAACCTTTAACTTTTCCAAATAAATACCATAAACCGAAAATACGAAAAACTGTTTTTTTAATTTTGAAAAGCTTATCTTCTATCAAGTGTTACACAATTATTTTTGTACTGTCAATAGAGTATTTTGTTTCAGTGTTTATAATTTTGTATTTTATTTTTATATTTTTGTACAAAATGTTAATAATTTACCCGTATGTATGTATACAACGTCAAAAGAGATATGGAATTATTCAATTTAGGAAATAATAAAAGTAATAACCATTTCATACATAAAAGCAAGGCATAAATATTTGTACTGGATTAAAATCATGTAACTGAAATACATGAAGGTAATACAATATAATCAGTATATAAGATATAATAAGAAAAAATATAAAACTCGATTTACATTTTGTGCTCGATGTGCGTTTCCATACGCTCCTAATATTATTACGATCAGTGTAAAAATAAAATCTCCTTAAAACATTTTAACCGACTTACGTATAAAAGTTACAAGTTACAACTACTAGCATTATTAAAACACTGATTATGTTCACTTAAGTACTCTCTATGCTAGTTTGAAAGTCATTAACTGTTCTCGCACAAGACAACACCAAACTGTTGAAATTAAAACGTACAATAGAAATGTCGTATGTGTCGATATGCTGAGACGCGTCGCTAGCTGTGGCCGCCCACGGCCCGAGTGCCCGACGCAAAGCCGACCATGGCTCTAATTCGAAATCCAAAGCACACCTCACGACCGCTTACACTCCCGTGTGGTTGAATATGAACGACACTGCGTTCTTGTCGACGGGAGGCGATCGTCGAGTGATTGACGGGTGGTTGTTATTGTTATAATGCCAAGACTTCCTCGTCGATGTACTCGATGATTGCAGAGCGATGGTCTCATAGTAGCGTAGCCTTCCACAGCATTTCCTACTCTTAATGATGGCTACGAAACCCTTTCTATATTTCTTATTGAAGAATGCATATAATATTGGATTTATGCAAGAGTTTGAGGCGCCCAGCCATTGGGCTAGAGGTGTTACAACAGGGAACATTTCTTCCTCCCATTTTTGGATAGGTCCTCCCAGCTTAATCCTTGCAAAGATCAGGTACAGTGGGAACCAAGACAAGACGAAAAGTATGACGACAGCGACTAGCATCTTAACAACTTTGACTTTAGATTTCTGTTGCATTCTTTCCATCTGAGCATCTTGGGTGTCAGTGGGGATTGATCTTCTCCAAACTTTAATCCAGATGAGAATGTAGCACATGGTGATGAGAACCATGGGGAGTATATAGCAGAAGATGAGGTTTCCGATCACGAAATAGAGAACTTCACTGATGGGGTTTGGCCAGACATCAAGGCATAGCCGGACATGTGGGCTTTCGTCGAAGACCACAACTAAATCGAAGAAGAATACCCATGGTGTGGTGACGCTGATGGCGAAAATCCAGATGAAGACAATCATCATCCTCGCTCGTCGTTTGGTGATTTGACATTTCAGTGGCCACCAAATGGCTAAGAACCTGTAACAAAGAAAACAAACCATTATAGACTGCACAGTCTTCAAGAGGTATTGTATTGAAGGACAATAATTATATCAAAATAAGTCTGAGATAAAAATATTTCAATCAACTTTTTCATACACAATAAATAGAATGCTTCAAAAACAATGCTCATAGAACATTCTACATAGAACCCGGACACTAAAAAGATCTAATCAATGCACCGATCCCATAAAGCAGATAAGTACAATTAAGATGGGATATTACCGTCTCAAAAATAGACGATAGAGCGATGCCTGGTAACGGTGGAGGATATCGCGCGGAAGATGTAAACCCAGCCGAGTGTAAGGCAGTTAGGCGTCTGATAGATTAATTGGCTAACGGATAAAAACAGGGCTGGAAGCTGGAATATGGTAATTGGAGCTCGTCTGGGTTTTTCAAGATATAGATATTTTTCTGTCAGAGATAAATAGCGTGTTTGGAATTAAATATGAAATAGATTACCAAAAATTACTAACACAAACGTTTTAGTGAAAATGAGTAAATGAATATGGTTGGCGGTTAGCATAACAGTTTCTCAAAATATAATTGGTCTAAATTGATGATTATGTGTTAAAAATTACAGAAACTTCAGGTTAAGGCATTCATATCACTGTCCATTGCCTCTAGAAAAATTGATACGAATATTTTTTAAAGTAAATAAGAATTTAATTAATAATTATAGACCAAGAATCCGCTTCATAAAAATATATTGATCACAATTAAGTAGGTAAGTATAACAAACCAGAACAAACAACAGTATACCTATAATTTTATCTAAGGTCATCATCTAAAACAAACAGACATCGTACACGCACTGACCTCGACTACCAATAATCATATAATTGACAGTTACGACCTCAAAACCAAAGATTAACTAATAACTAATAGGAACTATGAAACAACTCGGAAATAAAACCGATGATGTAACAATAATGAATTTTACAACATTATAGGAAAGCCGCGATGTTATTTTATGTGTAGGAACTCCATAGTACTCCGCAATAAAAATATCGTATAAATTGTTTGTTCAAAAACAACATCTCTACCGGGTTGCATAATTAATGATTTCTTGTTATCACTAAATATTCATAATTCCAAAGAAATTAAATTAATTTATATAAATAGCTTCACTTAAAATTTTTGTTTTTGTTGACGTTCAAAAGTGCCATTCTGGCCTAATTGAAATAAATGATTTTGACTTTGACTTTGACTTTGACTTTATTTGAAATGTAATTTGAACCACATGTACTAAATTCGACCAATTAAAATATATTATGACAAAACCTAGGTATTTTTCATTCATCATAATAATCTTTCACCATACAAGCACCTTACAAAAATCAATATTAAAGTCGACTGTTTGATTTTACGCCCAGTAACAGCTACTGGTTGTATAACTGATTAAACTAAACATCTCAATATTATTGATTGGTTTTAGGCTCTCTGTTTCTTATAGGATCTCTGTTAGGGTTTTTACTTTTTAACACTAAAAAGTAAAACTAAAACACTAAAAAGTAAAATTAGATCGAGCAAAACATTATTTATTTTGCCACGAAACACGTGTATTTCAACAAATTGACCAATGTTAATGAGATAATTTCTAATATAGAAGATACACTTGTAATCTAGTATAATAATTGTAATATAGTAGTATCTATATCTCTTTCACCGAACAGAATATAATTAGATAAAATATTTCAAGAACAGAAAAAAATAAACACACATAAAAGAAACTTTCTATGAATGAAGTTCCGACAAAAGCAAACAATGAACTTTTATCTCGAAAAAAAAGACGAACAGGAATCGTATTCTTTTGATATAAATCTCCCAGCATCCACTTCAAAAGTTGAGCTAAAAATAACTTCTACCATTCACGACATTTCAGTTTTGATTGCAAAAAGACCATGTTTTTCATTTCTAAAATATTTTTGGACTAACAAACTGTTCGTTATAAGATTATAACTAACTTCTTCAATAGAGATTCCAGTAATGCGATAGTCATCTGAATTTCATTACAGTCACAAGTTAAAAAGGGGTAAGATCGGAGGATTTTCTCTTCATCGCTTTTTTGTAAGTACCTACTTCATTCCAATAAAATTTGGTTCTATAAATAGAGATTTGAATTGAGAAAGTGGATCTAGTAACCTCTTTATTGAATTACAATCGGTAATAAGTATAAAAATAATCTGTGTGAGCAAAACGTTTGAATTCTGTGTTGGGTAATGTATTATGAAGATTTATATTGTGAAATCGGTGTACAGGCTTAGTCTACAATAGACCACTGTTTAATTAAACTTACAAAATATTATGGGTAGGCGTCAGCCTATTAAAATTACAGACGTATTGATAAAATATGATATGTGCAAAAAATAATTACAGAGCTTCATATACTTGCTTAAACTTGAACGACAAAATCACATAACTGCATCTCAATCAAATCAAGTATCGACAAGCTTTCTTTGACAGCTGTTGCCCTTGGGCATTCAAACACAATAATCCAGTTTCATTCTGCACTTTAAAACCTTCTGCACAGAATTCGAAATCAATTGGTCTACAATGAGACTCCTATGGTTTGAGGTCTGTAATCATATCACGATATGTAGGTGACAGTTATTAGAACAAATATAATAAATGGTAATGGGTTTTAGTGCAAATTATATGCAAAACGATTGCTATATAAATAATTATTGATTTGATTAGTTGCCTACACTGAAAATAGATTTAGAATACGAGTTTTTAGATGTAGTTTTAATTTAAAGTATAGGTGTCATAACGACATTCATTTATAGTCGTTGTTTTTATAATCTAAGTGCGTTTCTTCCACACTACAATAGTTTGTGACCAAATAACTTTGTTATTAAACTCAGTTTTGCTGCAGCAATAAAAACAACATTAACACATATACAGGATGAAATCGCAATCGACAGCACTGTACGTGTCATTATAATTAATTTACATTTTCGCATCTCAATATAAGTGTCGAATACTGATATATTTAACCCGCACATCCACTTATTCGGTTCGACCAATTGTGCAAGTATCGAACAATTTCCCCAAATATTCTCACTTGCAACACTGATAATAATGAATAATGAACTGCGCATACGCATTGTAATCCTCTCATTGACATTTGGGATCCTCGATTCGGGTTATTCTTCACCGGAGTGGCCTTTTAACGAATGGATGAGAGAAATTTATAATTTCATCATCTTACCTGATATGTAGATTCGTAATGTGACATCTTGAATCGAAGGGATACCTCAATTTGTGTAATCAACTAGGGATTCAATATTGTTGTATTTTTACAAAGTAGCCGCTAAATAAATTGCAATAATTGTTGTTAGGATGTTAGAACCATAATGTTCTACATCACTTAGCAAACTAAGTTGACCAAGTCAACGACCGTCTGAAAAAGTTTTCATGCCCATTGTCTTGATCTCTTAAAGACAAGACTGAAGTTCAATTAAATTTTCCGGCGCGCCCCCTATAATATCTAATACTGTAGACAATAAAGCAACTCTAACTTTTATACCGGACTATTTTATAAAAACAATTGTAATTTTTGTATGAAGTGAAAAAAGCTCTTAAAGTATATTTATTAAATTATGATAATCTCAGTAACCTCCCACACTTAACTGCTATAATAATTTACCGACAACACGGTTGAATTTTGCATAAACATTGAGCAAGCGTCATGCGACTGTGGCCAATAAATCACCGATGTACGATGGTGTAAATTAATGGCAGATGGGCTTCAGGACTATATTGCTTAACTTTACCTACTAACATTGAAATTTTACTCAATAATAGCCTTTATTGACAGTTCTTCGTTTATTTACTTATACTCTCATTCTAGTGATGGATGAGTCTTCATTGTTTTAAGTAAATGGATAATGAAATAAATGCCTTGAACGTTTTCATGGTGGTCAAAAAATGGAGATATATCAATCATTCAAGTGATTCTGTGTGTACAGACAGACTGTGTGATGACATGTGGTTGCAATTATGATGAATTATGATTTTTATTTTATTTAAAATTGCATATAATCAGAACAACGACGGTTTTTGGATTATGTCTTCGTCTGTGAATTTCAAGGAACAAAAATGGGACCATTTAAATACCACGGTTTGCCGAGCCGTTTCGCGCTAAATTCAATAGTCCTAAATCCTAATCGAATGCTAGATTAAACGTAGTACATGTAGCGACAATTAGTGAGCTACAACTGATCACTGATTAGTTAGCTCATTAGTAACGAGGGACCAATGTCTACATTTACTACTGTCTGATTCGACAGATAGACTGACTGTGAATTTATTTGGTACATTGTCCTATTGCCTGTGTATTTCGGAATAGGTACTAACTTTGTAAGTTAGTTTGCAATAACACAGCAAATGTTGTGTCGAATTTTCATAATTATTATTTTAACACATGACATGTTACGTTATGTTTATTCAATGAACATTTCTTTTAATTAGAGGTCAACTTTATCAATTACTTTAATTGCAACACGTAATTCAGAGGCTTAAGTCAACATCATTGGACATTAAGCTGACATGGACGTTTACGAAATATTTCCCCCATTATGTTAATACTAGCTGTTGCCCGCGACTTCGTCCGCGTAGATTAATGACTTCTGACAGAATTAACCAGAATCAATTCAGTGCCCAAGTAAGATTTACCTATTTTGAAATGATTTATCGTAGTTTCAATAAATAAATAATCCCGCAGGGATCTTACCAGTACAGTGCCCGATCACGTAAGGTTTGAGTAATAAAAACTATTCTATCGACTATTGTTGTACCGAATCTCTCTAGAATAAGTTCAGAGGCTAAGAGTTAGAGAGTCCTGGGGCATTGACGTATAGTTCCCGTTCTCGTGAGACATCTGTGAAAAAACTATCATACGTTACCCAGGTCCCAAATCATCGTTTTACCGAATGTAATTCAAAAAGATTCAATGATTCTAAATTCAACGGCTAAGAAGATTTATACAAACTCTCAT